TATGTATATGTGTATAGTATGTGTATGTGTTTGCATTGTGTATGCCTTGCATGTGATTTGTCTGTGTGTGTGTGTGTGTGTGTGTGTGTGTGTGTATGTGTGTGTGTGTTGATACTCCTGTCATGGCGTGCCTGTAGAGATCAGAGGACAACTTTATGGAGTCAGTTTTCTCCTTCCAACTTTATGTGGGTTCTGTAAATTGAACTCAGGTCTCTAGGCTTATGCAGCAAGCACCTTTACCCAGTACTGAGGATCTCACTAGCCCATGTGTCATGATTTTCAGTTTGTGAAAGCTTTCTTCTCAGTTGTTCCTTTTTTATGGCTACCTGTTCTTGTGTCACAGAAACAGTATGGCTCTTTCTGCAGATGTTGAAGCTAAGAATTTTTCCTGTTATCCCATGCATCTGTTTCCTTTAGGGTTAGTTTTTGTTTTTCTTGTCCTTGTTTACACAGTCGTAGGCTTCCTATGAAAGTAAACCTTGATACCCATCCAGCCAGACTGATTATTCTGAGTATTTATCATTGGTTCTTCTGCCTTGATTGTATAATCAATCTGGTCTGCTTATAGGGTATGGAACAGAGAACTTCAGCATAGGAAGGCAGGAGGGTCCATATGCAGGCTGGGCCCACAAAAGCCAGAATGACTAGAAAGGCAGAAACCTTTGTTTAAGCAGACACTGCATTCATTTTCTTTGGGGACACTGGTCCATTTTTATAGGTAGGGGTATGAGTACTGGGAACAGACACCAGGCTACCATCACACTGATTATGGGGAGGGGCAGAATGTCCTCAGTACAGCATGTGGTGTGGTAGTTCTTGACATAGTCCCTCCTTATCCCCAGCTGTGAGCACAGAGTCTCTGGTCCAACCCTCTGTCGTCCCTTCCTTTGTATGGATTACACTTTCTCCACCCTCTTTTAAAAAATCTTTTAAAATTTATTTATTTTTATTTCATGTGTACCAATGTTTTGCCTGCATGTATACAAGTGCACCCATGCCAACAGAGGCCAGGAGAGGGCATCAGACACCCCGGAACTGGAATTATGAATGGTTGTTATCCACCATGTTGGTGCTAGGAACCAAACCTGGTCCTCTGGAAAAGTAGCCAGTGCTCTTAACCACCAAGTCATCTCTCTAGCCCTCACCCTCTTTACTGACTCACTCCTGCTTGGTGCCTTTTAGACCTGTGTTGACCCTGCACTTGGCCATTCCTCTTTCCTTTCACCTTAGGCTTATTATTGTTGTTTGGTTCTTTCCTTTTTTTAAGATGTACCAATACACTTTTCGTTCACAACCCTTGAGAATTTGAGAGTTCTAACTTTGTGTTATTTTTTTTTTTTTTTTTTTTTTTTTTTTTTTTTTTTTTTTTTTTTTTTTTCCTTCTTTTCTATTTCTTTCTTTCTTTTTAAACTTCAACCAAGATTAAATTCAGGCACATAAAAAGGTCCAAATGCCAACAACCTTTTTTAAAGTAAGGTTATATGGTTTTCTCTCAGAAAACAAATCTGGAGATGGAAGCTTGGGCTATGGTGACAGGCCCATGAGACTGTCACATCCAAGATCTTTCTGCTCAATCATCAGGAATACCTATGTTCCAGCCTGAGCATTCCCTCTTGGAGGCAGAAGAAGGGTGCAGTAGCTCCAGCCATCAGTCACATGGAAGGGAGAAGGAAAAATGTGGGTATGACAGATGGTATAGGCTAGTTGATCCTGTTCCACTTTGAGTTTTTATGAAAGCCCTTCATTGTGGCTTTTGATTACATCGCATTGGTTTCCATTGTGTCTGCAAAGGGGTTTGGAAAATTTAGCTGTTCAGCTAAATTTAGAGAAATACACACTAAGAGTTCTTTGGTAAGGAAGAGTAGATTTGGGTGTGTAGTTAATTATTTCTGGATAGAGGGAGGAAGCAAACTTGGACTCAGCCCAATGGCTGGAACTGGAATTGCTGCTCTTGGAGACTTTCAGCCTCCTTTCTCATGGGGTACAGCAGATTTCAGCCTCAGTGGTCAGTGGTGAATATCTTCTTAAAGGTGGGAAGAATTTCTGTTGTGTTTTTTGGCTGCACAGATTAAGTTGCAGGCAATTTCTCATTTATTACTATGCTCTTTCTTTATGAAGGCTTTCATAAGGAAGCATCCATGGAAGGCTTTCAAGTTCAGATTAGGACATCAAGACTCTTCATTTGTAGAAGTTACAGCAACAAGCACTGTGACTTAAGGCAGCATAGATTTATTCTCTCATGCTACTTGAGGTTTTGAAGGCCACAGAGGATTTCACCAGACTAATCAAGATGGTCAACAGAGCTGCATTCCTTCTAGAGGCCCTAGGCAGATCTGTTCCAGCTTCTAGAATTTGTTCGGGCTCGTAGCCAGTTACCTATTTAGGACCTTTCAATCTTTCAATTTTTTTTTTAATGACAAGGTTTATTTATTTTATTTTTAATTTTTAATAAATGTTTTATGTGTATGGATGTATTGCTGGCATGTATGTAAGTGCACCCATGTTTTTCAGTGCTCACAGAGGCAAGAAGAGGGTGTTGGATTCCCCTGGAACTGGAGTTAGGGACTTACAGCTGCCATGTGGGTGCTAGGAACTGAGTCCAGGTCCTCTCCGAGAGCAGCCAGTGCTCTTAACCACTGAGCCATCCCTCCGGCTCCTATTTTTTATTTTATTTTATGTTTTTAGGTACTGGTGATCAAACTAGGATGTTGCACATGCTAAGCAATGCTACACTGCTGAGCTACATCCCCAGCCTGAGACAGGCTCTCTCTATGTAGCCCTGTTGCCTTCCAGTGTGTGGTCTTCCTGCCTCAGCCTCCTGAGAGCTAGGATTATAGGCATATGCCACTAGGTGCTTTTTAACCTCTATCTGACTTATAACCTCTGCTTGCTTGCTTGATTGATTGCTTCCTTTCTTCCTTTCTTTTTTTTTTTTTTTTATGTGTATGAGTATATCGCCTGCATGTATGCGAGTGCACCCATGTTGGGCAATGCCACAGAGGTCAGAAGAGGGCTTCAGATTCCCCTGGAACTGGAGTTAAGAATGGTTCGTAGCCACCATTGGGTGCTGGGAATCAAACCCAGGTCCTCTGCAAGAGCAGTCAGTGCTCTGCTTTCTTATAAAGAGCCTCATAATTGTACTGAATCTACTCAGATAACCCAGGATAATCTCTCTGTTACTGGGTTATTTCACCAAATCTGCATAAATCTCTTTGCTGTATAAAGTAACCTTCACAGGTTTAAGATTTGGTAGTCCTTGGGCTTGAGAGATGTCTCAGCACTGAAGAGCACTGATTCTTGCAGAAGACCTGGGTTCAGTTCCCAGCACCCACATATCAGCTAGCAACCATCTATAACTTCAGTTCCAGGGGATCTGATGCCCTCTTCTGGCCCCACAGGCACTGCATTCATGGGTGCACTTACATACTTTCAGGCAATACACTCACACATAAAAATCAATCAGTCACTCACTCAATCACTCCATCAATCAAAAAAAGAGATTTGGTACTCCTTAAGGAGGGATATTATTTTGCTTACAAAGGCAACTCTAACTTAGCTTTTTATAGTTTCCTTTTATTGTTTTCTGAAACTACTGCCTAAGAAGTCCTAAGAATCTACATTCAATTTTTCTAGGTAGAACTTGCACCTGAATGTTAGAAGTATTGGAAAGATTAGCCTCTGCTGTTTTCATATTTGTTGGATTACAGAAATTTCAAGAATCTCTTCAAGTGATCTTCTTTAGTTCATATGACAGTTCTGGGAACAGTGGTCAGAAACAGCTGTATTTTGTTTTTCTTTCTTATTGAAAAGTATGTGGAAGGCTTTTTCTTTAATCAGAAAAAATAGTTTTAAAAAACTTTTATTAATTCTTTATTGTGAAATGAATTGATTTTGAAACTATATTAGTGGGGTTAGAGTGATGGCTCAGTGGTTAAAAGCATTTACAATACTTACAGAGGACTCAGGGCTGGTTCCCAGCACCCACATAGTATCTCACAACCATCTGTAACTCCAGTTCCGGAGGCTCTGATGTCCTCTTCTGGCCTCTGCAGGCGCTGCACGCACATGGGAGCACTTACATTCATGCAGGTAAAATACACACATAAAATAAAAATAAATATTTTTAAAAGAAAAGAAAGTATAATACTTTGCTTTCATATTGCTTCAAGCAGTACACTTTTAATTTTTCAGAAAAATTAATTTCAATGTGAAATATCAGTATAATAACTATCAAAACATAAAACCCATTCTTCTTGAAGCCTGACAGTCAAAATTGTTTTATGTAAACTTTTGTTTTTCAATTTTTTATTTTTTTTTTATTTTTTTGTCTTCTTGAGACAGGGTCTCCTTGTAGCCCCAGCTGTCCTGGAACTCCCTAGGTAGCCCAGGCTGGTTTCAAACTCACAAAGATCCGCCTGCCTCTGGCTCCCAAGTGCTGGGATTAAAGGCATGCACCACCATGCCTGGCAATTTTTTTTTTTTTTTTTTTCGGTCTTACTGAGACAGTGTCTCTCTGTAGCCCCAGCTGGCCTGAAACTCGCTATGTAGACCAGGCTGGCCTTGAACTCACAGAAATCCACCTGTGTCTGCCTTCTGAGTGCTGGGATTAAAGGCACGTATCACCATGCCTGGCTTTAATTTTTATTTGTATATTTTATGTGTATGAGTGTTTTGCCTGCATGTATGTAAATATACTATGTGCATGCAATGCCTGCAGAGGCCAATAAAGGGTATCAGGCCCCCTAGAACTGGAATTAGGAATGGTTGTTAACTACCGTGTGGGTACTGAACCTGGGTCCTCTTGAGAATAGCTAGTGGTCTTAACTACTGAGCCATCTTTCCAGCCCCAGTAAAAATGTTTCGATAATAATTTTCAGTGTATTTTTCCCTATTTCCTTTTATTGGAGATAGCAATAGTTTATTTTCTTTGGCTGATTTTTTTTTTCCTCTAAATAATGTCATCATAATTAACAGACGTCTTTTTTCTTCTGTTTTTGAAGCTTAAGAAATGTATAAAAACTCCAGAAATCCCTTCTAAACATGTTAGGAACTGGGTCCCCAAAGTCTTGGAACAACGACGGCAAGGCTTGGAGACATATTTGCAGGTAAGAAGTGTTTAGATCCTTGGTTGATATAACACAGCTTAAATCATCGGCCTCACCCTTTTATCTCAGAATATGAAGTATGACAAGTACCAATAGCCAAAGATTTTAAATTGAGATGCAGACTGTTTATGATTACAAATACGGCTTTTGACTGGTTCATTTTGCTTTCACTCAGTTCTGTTTAGAATTGGTTTGTAGATTGGGTAAGTGAACATTTAGTATCACTGGAAAAATTGATATTGAAATTATCTGTTTCTAAATTTAGCTGTACAAATTACTTGTTATTTTAGACAAAATAATTCTGTTCTCAGTCCTTAGGTTTTAGATGCTTAGGGGCTGGTTGGAGTCCTGAGAGAAAGTAGATTTTTAGTGGGGCAGGCCAGCACATCTGTAAAGTTACATTGAGACTGTGTTCAGAAATTGCTTCTGATTAAGTGCCAGCTTCCTTGAAAATGAGAATATATGTCTAGAGAGAATACATTAGAAAGCTCCTCTGTAGCCTCGAGGGGCCAACGGAACCACCTGCAACCAGGGAAAAACCCAGGACATGACAGAGAAGGCAGAGAGAACAGGGATTTACAAACCCTTCTGAGGCCTCAGGTAACTATTTCATGAAGTCCTCAGTAAATGCTTGGATGGGCTGGACAGGTACAGAGATGGACAGGCCCTGTAGTCAGCCATGCCTCTCCTGGCCTGCTCAAAAACCAAAGCAAAACAAAGCAAACAGAAAAAGAAAAACAAAACTGGATTTTACATAAGATTTGAGAATTCATGGCTGATCTTTTAAGAAGGTTACAGCAGAGAAATCTGCAGGTCTTTGTTCTTTGTGTCTTTGTGGCTCCTTCAAGCATTAAGACTCCAGGGCAGATCCTGCTCCAGAAGTGTGAAGCCAGGGATCCCTTCCTACACAGAGCTCAAGTAGATGGCTGGTTCTGAGTCACTGGTGCCTGACACTCAGGGGTAAAGTCAGAGGACACCCTCTCCATAGAAAGCAAGCTGCCTGCCATGTGTCAGTTTCCAGCCTCCTGCCGTGTGTTGGTCTTTACTGTGTTCAAGGACTGGGAAAGCTGCTGAGCCTCCGAGGAGGACCCTTGCTGGTCTTTCCAAGGGGCTTGGTGGAAGGATTCTTCCCTGTGTTTCCCTAGGAGTCAGAGCCTAAAGTAAAGGAAATCACAAATCTCAGGCATGCGTGTGGCCTTCCCCAGATTGTACATGGACCTATCAGACTTCTGTAGCTTCAGGCAACACTTCAAACACCAAACCAAAACCCAAGAGAAAGAGAAGAGACCTAAGAAATTGTATGCAAAGGGTAAAATACATGTTCTCTGTAATTAAATGGAATAGGTAAACAATGCACTTTCATTTGTAGGCCAGATTTTCCACAGATATTGTGTATCTTCAAGCTTTAGCTCTGAAGAAAGCTTTATCCCCCCCCCCATTCTACCACCCCACACTAGATTTGACACATGACTTCCATTACTACTCAGTGTAAACATTTTAAGTTGTTTGTACTTTGGATGTAAATATGTGGATAAAATCATCTGGCATGGAGGGGAGTTTACAGTGACACTCAAATTGAGCTTACAATTTTCTATTCTCAGAAATAGGGCTTGAAAGATGTGCTTGAAGTCTGCAAGTGCCTGCTTCTGGCTGTGCGTGTAGTATTCAGTTTGTTGTGGCTCAGTTCCTGGTGAAGTTCTTGGGGGGCTTCTCCCATCCATTTTCTGGTTCTGTGTGCAGCAGTGGAACCTAGGTGGAAGTTGCAGTGAGGTGCGGAAGTGAAGACAAAACCTTGGCTGTAGTGTCAGTTCTAGATTTTTTTAGTATTTGAATTTTTTCAATATTTTATTTATTTTACTTTATTTTGTATGTATGGGTGTTTTGCCTGCAGGTATGTAAGTGCATATGCGGTGCCACCAGAAGAGGGCATCAGATCCCTTGGAACTGGAATTACAGAGGGTTGTTAGCTGCCATGTGGGTGCTGGGAACCGAACCTGGGACCTCTGGAAGAACAGCCAGTGTGCTTTTAACCACTGTGCCATCTCTCCAGCTCTAGTATTCAAGTTTTTTAATGAGATAGTGTCTTCTGCTTGCCTGTCTAACTCCAGAGAGACTCCCATTCCCCCTCAGGATCAGTCTGAATCCTAGGGAGCTGCTGTCACCTGCACATCTTCACAGGCACCATTCTGCAAGCCCAGCTAGAACTGAGCTGGATGGTGTGACTTTGATCTGGCCCATGGGTTGAGAAAGTACCACTGCCCCCAAGCCATGATCCTGGGCCCACAGGGGTCTAGACTGCTCTAGTCATTGAGTTTGGCAGCCGCCCCACAGGCAGCTTTCCTCTTAACAAGGTCAGGGGACCAGCCCTTCTTCTTCAGAGGGCAGGAGGTTGTTCTGTGACTGGAGCCCCACACATTTCCCATGGTGGCTCTTTTAGCTTACATGAGAGGCTGAGTTGCAGAGAGACCATAGAACATGCATCACCTTCCCGAATATATTTGTTAAAGAGCCAGGACTGAAATTTCATTTTTCTGTTGCCCAGAATGGGCTCTTCTCTTTATATATTGGGGATTTTCTAATCTAGGAGGAATTTTTCCACCCTTGATAAATAATTTTATATAAATATATAATAGTGGTACAAGAAAAAAAAGACCTTACAGCCATCAACATTACAGATTAACAGACTGTTTCCTTTCTGACTGATATGTAAATTATTTAAAGGAAAAGTTTGCATACATGTATGTTCCTAATGGTCTGTATGTGCACCACATGCATGCAGGAGCCCATGGAGGGCATCAGCTACCCCGGAACTAGAGTTACAGGTTGTTGTGAGCCACTGTGTTGTTGCTCAGAACTGAACTCTGGTCCTCTGCCAATAGCTAAATTGTCTTGATGCCAGAGCACAGGACAGAATTATCATAGCGACATCACCCTACCTCCTTTATTTTAGTCCTTTCTCCTTCAGAGAAGAGCACGGGAACTCAGCAGACCCTTGCTTTTCCTGATAACACACAAAACCTGGTCGGCATCTAATTAATTAGGATTGAAGACCTGTGCAGATCCTAGGAGGAGCCATTTTGATCTCAGTGCTAATGAACTTGAATTACAGACACCTCCTTCTATAGCAAGTTTCTCTCTTCCGGTTTTCAGTTTTCTTGTCTCTTTCTCGTACTTTACAGTTATGCTAGGGTCTTACTTTTCTATGGATACTAGAACAAGTTACCAAAATCTTGGAGTCTAAAAACCACAGGAATTTATTCTCTGATGTTACCAAGGTCAGAAGTCTGGAATCAAGATGTCAACGACAAGATTGTCCTCACATGGCCTTCTTTTCCTTGGTGCCGTCTCCTCTTCTATAAGCTGCCAGTCATTGGCTTTGAAGCCTATTCTAAATGCAGGATGATTTTATCTTAAAATTCTTGACTGAACACATCTGCAGAGATCTTCTAAATGAGGAGTAGGTGGAAAGGAATTCTAGGGGACACTGAGCACCCCACAACAGTTGGGAACCTACAAGTATATCCCTAAAAAGAGGTCATTTCACTCCCATTGGTCACTACCCACATCCCTATGACTGCTGATGTGCACCCTGCCTTCACTCCTGGCCCCTGTATTTTCCCTCTGTAGCCTCTGATAATTTTCTCTTTGCTGCCCCTCAACAGATCAGTCCACTAAATCTTGGGACATAATGTCATGGGTAATTTTCTGACCTTTTTATTTAACCCATCTGATAAGATTTCATGATCCATCCATACATACAAATTAATAAGTCCAAGTAGCATGTGTAGGAAACATCAAGATACCTACAAGGAGTGAGAGCCCAGAGATTATTCACAGAAAATCCAGAACTTGAATTCACCTTTATTAGAAGCTTTAGCAAAAAGCTGGATGAGTTAGAGAAAGAGAGAAGACATGTGAGTCAGAATTTTAAATGTCTTTAAATTTCTACCCATAGTAATATCCATGATGTCTTTTGTGTCTACAAAGCCAGAAACCTAACTAAAGAAGGCTTATGGGAAAAAAATGAATTATTGGCTACAGTAATAGAAAAGTCCAAGTTTAGGCCCTTTAATGACTGGATGTTGCTTCCTAAAAGTGCTATCAGAAATATGACTCCCTGGGGCTGGAGAGGTGGCTCAGTGGTTAAGAGCACTGGTTGATCTTGTAGAGGACCCAGGTTTGGTTCCCAGCACCCACATGGCAGCTAACAATCATCTGTAATTCTAGTTCCAAGGGATTTGACTCCCTCTTCTGGCCTCTGCAGGCATTGCATACTAGTACACTTACATGCAGACAGGCAAAACACTCATACAAAACAAAAAAACAAAAGAGAAATATGACTTCCTGGAGAGATGACTAAGCAGTTAAGAGTTTGCTGCTCTTGCAGAGGATCAGAGTTCAGTTCCCAGCACCCAAGTCAGATGGCTTTCCAGCTCCAGGGTATTTGATGCCCTCTTCTGGACTCTGCATGCACCTGCACTCATGCGTATATACACACAATATATATACATAACTTTAAAAAATAAATATTTTTAATTCATTAATTGTATACAGTGTCTTAGATCAAAAGTGAGAATTAGCCAAAGAGAATTTTTAAGGTTACATGGGACATTTTAGTAATTTTAAAGAAGGGTAGTCTGATAAACAGTAAACCTTAATTTTCTTTTTCTCCTCCAGTGTTTTGAGGCACAGTGCCACTCTGTATGTAACTCAGGCTGCCCTTCAACTCATTATGTAAGACAGGCCGGTCTTGAACTCATGGCAGTCCTCCTGACTCAGCCTCTTGATTGCTAAGATTGTAGGTGTGAGCTACCACACCCAGATCTTAATTTTGTTTTCTAGGAAACCTACTAGTTCTTACTTATCATGGTTTCTTACTTCTTTCAGTTAGCAAAGTACTTGGTGTACAAGTATGAGTTCAATCCCCAGCATTCACATACAAAACTGGGCATGGAGGTGCATGTTTGTCATCCCAGCGCTGAGGCAGGAGGATCCCTGGG